AGGGAAATAATCTTTGTAGGGAAGTCCTATATGAAGACATAGGGGAGATGTTTTAGAAGAGGCAACATATGTAGGAATGCACTTCAGAATGAAAGGTTAGTTAGAGCAACTCAATCAAATGCACCATATGTGACCGATCATTATAAAAACTGCTATTATGATGAACAGCACACAAAATGGTACTCTAGTAGAGTCGTCATATGCATTTGGATCGCTATAATTTATGAAGCTCGCTCTAAATATGAGCACCGTAGCCAACTTCACCTTCTTCCACCCCTCCCCTCCTCTCTGCTCTCGGTGGCACAGGCGCCCACACAGTTTACACGGGTATAGTAAACCATCGACGATGAACTACCCATCATTAGCGCACCCAAGCCCACGGATTTTCGCTGGCGAGCCCTCTGAAGTCCACCATGTGGCATCGTCTCCTGTCGTGCCGCCCGCCGTTCCCAACTATAAATGCAAGGCACACCTCACACCCACCCAACCCTAACGTCACCATCATCTCCTCCCCTCTCCGCCACAATCCCACCACCACAATGTCGCCCCATGACCTATTGGTCGAACCTGCTTGATGGTAACAATGTGTTGTCCCTGATGCCGCACGCAAGCGACATTATCTCTCCCAGCGCTGCACTAGTCGTGTCCACCGGAGCATCCTCCTCCAGCTACCGTTCTTGTGGCGTTGGCGGATCCCATGGCGGACGCGTTGGATCGCGTACCATCTCCCGTGTGGATGAGCCTGTTCCCGTCGCGATGGTCCCCCACTTGCATCGCGCCACTATAGGACTCCGCCTTGCCCCTGTCCACCCATCCACGATGAGCCCGGGTCCAAGGACCCACTCGGGGTCCTGCTCGAGCTCTCCACCCGTGAAGCGGAGGAACACCGCAGCCACCAACTGAGCTAGAGGAGAAACAACAGATTGAGCTTGTTGCTCCTTTGAAGAGGCCAAGTGCAAGCGCGAGATCGACCACCGTTTAGCTCTTCGTTTGATGCTCGACCATCTCGATGACGAGGACTAGACAACATCAAATAGTAGATACTCCCTCCGTAACATAATATAAGATGACCAGGCGCCGCTTCACATACACAAGAGGGATGCCGGACGGCACGGGCACGCGGCGGCGGCAGCCGACGAGGCGAGGTGATGCTTCGGGTCACCGGCGGGTTGCAGTTGACCTGCCATTGGTGGTGGCGCCTTGGACGCCGCGGGTCAGTCAGGTGCACGAGGTGGCTGCCGGTGAGGGTGAGCCGGAGGTGCCAGACGCGGCGGTGACGGTTCTTGCGGCCGCCGTCGACGAGGTGGAAACGGTTCCCCCTCCGCTCGCAGGGAGGGCCAGCATCAGCATCAGCATCACGTGTCGGTCCTGAGGACGGATGAGGTGGAAAGGGAGGAGCCCCACGCCCTGGTCAGCACCGCGCTTTTGACCGAGGTGGGTGGAGCTGGACCGATCCCGACGATTCCAGATCCCCCACTTGCCGATGGTTGCTCAACACCTGCCCTCGGCAGGGGCGGGAATGTGATGGAGCCGGCAACGCCTAACTGTGGAGTGGTAGACAGCAAAAGGAACAGCGGTTCGGCAACGCTGGCACAAAGGTTGCAGATCGTACATGGCCAAGGCTGGGACGACGACCAACGACAGTTATCTCTGGATAGAACTGATATGATTCAAATTTCAAATCAAGCGCTGTCCCAGCCCGCTTCCCTCCACGCTGGGGAAAGCAGCGAGTCCGGTCAGCATGCCACGGGTGCGGATTGTGGCCAAGGAAATGTCCTGGACACTTTTCTGGTGAGCTTGTCGGATGCAAGGACCATGGAGGATAGGTGCTCAGCCACAAGATCGACGAGATCAATCAACAGCTCTATAGCGAGGTTCGGGTCCAAGTATAGAAAGAAGATCACGCCGGTGCTGTCAAGGCCAGCTGTGACCAGGAACAAACGGAGACGTCGAACACCTCCATCGGTCGTCCGTCGCAGTATGAGGATCAATAGTCGGCTTCGTAGCGGGGCATCAGTAAAAACCCAGCAGCGCACGCTCATGGTTCAGCTCGGAATCGCAAGAGAAGGAGAGGTGATTGGCGAGGAGGCCATGCAGGCATACCTGCAGCTGTTCTCGAGACCGTTGCAACAGTCACACATTGCGGCAATCGTTGGACTCTTTGGGTGGCAGGCGGATGTGCTGCCGCTTGGCAGAGGGATGGAGTGTGACACACTTTAGTGTGTGCACCTGTTGTAGCTTGCTTGTAGGCCTTTTCCTATGGCTGACCCAAGTCAAGTGATAGTGGTGTGGAATGTCCGCGGCTTGAATAGCCCGGCGAAACGCAATGCAATAAATAACGTCATTTCGAGCTCGGGCGCGAGTGTAGTTTGTCTTCAGGAAACGAAACTCCAAGATGTAAACATAATGGTGGTGCGGCAATGTCTTGGCCCGGCCTTTGATGTGTTCTTTTACGTGCCAGCGATTGGCACTTGTGGTGGCGTCCTATTGGCAGCCAAATCTGCATGTGCGCAGTTGACAAATCCACACATCACGTAAAACACGGCCACGGCGTGGGTGCAGTTCCAGGGGTCACCCGGTTGGTGGTTAACTGGAGTCTATGGACCCCAGGAGGATACGGACAAAGTGCTTTTCATGCAAGAGCTTAAGGATGTCAGAGAATTGCATGCAGGCCCCTGGATGCTTGCCGGCAACTTCAATCTCATTTTGGACCCGTCGGACAAGAGCAATGACAGGATCAATCGTCGGATGATGGGCCGCTTTAGGAGATGCATTTCGGACCTTGACATGAAGGAGCTCTATCTCAATGGCCGTAGATACACTTGGTCTAATGAACGGAGGGAGGCCACTCTCGAAAAGCTTGACCGGGTTTTCGTTTTGGTGGAGTGGGAGGCGATGCACCCTGCATCTTTCCTCTCTGCGCTCAGTACCAGCACATCAGATCATTGCCCATTACATCTGGTACTTGAGGCAAACCTACCACGGGGGAGACGCTTCCACTTTGAGGCTTTCTGGACGAGAATTGAGGGCTTCCAAGACGTGGTCAGACAAGCGTGGGGCAGTCAACCATTCATACAAAACCCGTACAAACGATTGGCGGCCAAGCTTAGAACAACTGCCAAACATCTTTCACGCTGGAGCAGCAAGTATGTGGGAAGTGTCAAGCAGCAAATTCGCATTGCGAATGAGGT